ATTTTTGACCATTATCGATAGTTTTTCAAAGTACGCTCAAGCTTACCATCTCAATTCAATGACAGGTACCGAAGTAGCTGACAACCTTATCCGATACTTTTCCCATCATGGAATCCCGACACAAGTTATTACTGACAATGGCACCGAGTTTAAAAACTCAGTCATATCCGAGTTATTAGGTTTACACGGAATCGAAATACATTTCTGTTCCCCGAACCATCCCCAGTCAAATGGCGTAGTCGAAAGATTTCATTCGACAATATCTGAGCAACTCCGAATTTTAAACACTCAAGGCTTTCAAAAAACATCTGTCCAAATGAAAATGATATACGCAATCTTAGCATACAACAACTCTGTTCATTCTGTGACTAAATTAAAACCCATCGATGTCATAAATGGTCATCTCAGTGAAAAAGATACATTTGACATCAGCTTAGACCAAATTTTGTTGAATGATTGTGTAGAACACAAAGCACGCAGTAAGCTATTATATACCAAAATCAACGAGGCGCTTGTTCAAAATAAAGAAAAAGTAATTGAAAAGGCAAACATAGCTCGAGATAGTGCAAAAATATTTCAACCAGGTCAGAAAGCATTCGTTAAGAAAAATATACGTCAGAAAAATGCAAATAAATTCCAAAAATCATGTACATTAACATCAGTCGATCCTGGTAAAAAGACCGCTACTACTGATAAACACAATAAAGTACATATCGATAATTTGAAGCGTCCCCTTCGCAAACCATATTCATTTAGCAACTAAATGTTTCTCTCCAAGTACGACATACATACATGTAGGTATTATTCATTTGCAGATTCCTGCAAGTAACGGTTGGACTTCAGGATAGCATAACTATACGTAACCTCGACAACAATCCAGGACTACTTCCCGTGGAAATTGGTGAAGCAAAAGTAAAAGACTATGACTTTTCACTCATTCATTATTATGATATGAATCCCATCATTTCTGAAATTGAAAAATTATCAATTTCCTCCTCACGTATAGCAGAAATCATTTCTTCAAATTTAAATGTCACTACATATTTGTCCAATTATTTCAGAACATTAAAATTTGTTCAGCGACAAGTAGAACAAAAGTTACATAATATATTTCCCCATACAAAGAGAGGAAAAAGAGGCATATTAAATGGCATTGGGTCGATATTCAAATCAATAACTGGAAACCTTGACGCCAATGATGGCGAACGTGTCGAAAATCTAATTCAAGAGCTTCAAAATAATCAAAGAGAATTGACTAACAGTGTCACACAGAATAATGCACTGTCAGTATGTCTTATTGATAAGTTCAATAAAACTGTTCAGCAAATCTGTCATAATGAACAATTGCTGAATAATAAAATTAATACCATATATGCAATTGTTCATCGTACTACAATCGATTCAGATCAGCATAAATTCATAGTAGACACAGTATCTCAAATTATGAACAGCTACGAAGTAACTCTGTCAATATTACAAGACGTTGAAAATTCAATAATTTTTGCACGTCTTGGAACAATTCACTCTAGCATTATTACAACCGAAGAAATTTTTGGTGAACTGAAACTATTGAGCTCAAGATTAGGCCAGGAAAAATTTGCGATTCCAGTTTTACTAGATAACATACCAACTTTTGAAAAAATAATCAAAATCTCCAGTTATTCTGTGGGCAACAAAATTACATTCGTTTTATCATTCCCAATCTCATACTATGAGTCATTTAACTTATATCGTCTCTTTCCAATCCCGATATATTTTGAAGGTCAATTTAAGACTATCATTCCAAAGGAGCCTTATTTGGTAAAAAATGAATTGCACTTTGCACTTTTCGGCGACATTTGTACTGAAATTACTCCTAAAAAGTTTCTCTGCGAGAAGACCATGTTGCGAGACATTAATGGTCCATTACCCTGTGAACTTGAACTATTCAATGGAAGAAACGCCCCTGCATGTGCCCGAACTCCACTGATAATCAATCAGCCAAGTATCGAACGAATCCAACGGACTAATCAATGGGTATTGATCCTGCCACTACCAGAAGTTATCAAAATGGAATGCCACGAAGAAATGCAAATGAAAAGATTGACGGGAACTTACCTACTTTATATTCCTGTCAACTGTCAAGCCGAAATTAATCACCAAATCATAAAAAATGAACCCGAAACGATTGTCGCGGGCCAACCTATAATATTCCCGGACTTAAACCTGGACACTAAAGGCGACATCACAGAAACAAATTTCAGTCTGCATCTAGAAAAAATTAAGCTGGACGAGTTAAGTAAAATCAAGTCAAGCATTATCAGCAACAAACCCAACTTCAAAAAACCTACAGAATTTTTTATACCCAGTGCCTGGACACTGATAATATACGGATGTATATTACTCTTGGGTGTCTACGCATTCTGGAAAACCATTTTGAAGAGGAGGAAGCTCAGAAATAGAAGTATTCAACAACCAGAAGTCGAACTTCATCCTATTCAACTTCCTTGAAGAATTCTTCCCCGAAGTTGAATCTCAGGGGGGAGGAGTTATATCAGCCGTTCCTGCTGATATGATAGGAATACTGCCGACGATGCTACTAATTTCCTAGAAGACCTAGAGTTTACTTTATTGTTCTCAACACATTTTACAGTCAGTCAGATTTAAGCCTTTGTACTGTTAACATCATAATAACATTGTAATAATTTTGTAAAAGTACAGTTTTGAGTTTTGTATTTTCGAAAAATAAACTTTTTAAAAAGCGATCTCGAAGCATCGATCTTATAACTCGTGAAAATCACCCGAACCTTTTGTTTACATCCGGTCTATCTCTTATCTGAATATACTGTACATAAGAACTATTTATATTCTCGAAACAGAACTGATTCCAGCAAGCTTTGTTTATGTTCCATTTTCTATTTGATGCAAATGACATTTTTTCTGGGGCAAAATTACAATTGATAAGTATAGGCAAATGATCTGAACCACATGGGTCTGGCAAGGTTCGCCATTCTAGCTGATGATGAACTTGAGGTGAACATAATGTAAGATCTATTGCTGATTTTGATTGATATTTTACATAAGTTGGATCTCCATTGTTAATAAAACTGAGATTACTGTCATCTAGAGCTTCAATCAGGATTTTCCCAAATACGTCATCCTGAGCACAACCCCATGAAGTGTGATGTGCATTAAAATCACCTCCTATAATACATGGACTGTGTAAGGAACTAAAAAATTGTATCCATTCCTGTTTAGTGATTTTGGTTTGTGGTTTCATATATACTGATACAAATGTAATATCTGAGATTATTTGAAACTTTACTGTAGAACATACTTTCATTATTTTATTACAAGCAACTAATGATATTTGAGAATATTTTAAACTATTTCTCATCAGTATAGCCACTCCTCCTTTGCCATCTGACCGGTCTTGACGGATAACGTTATAACCTTTAAATTTTACATATGTATTCATTTTAAACCAGGTTTCAGACAAAAGTGCGATGTCCACATTTTGTTCTTCTAAAAGGTGTTCCAAATTACCTTTATTTGCTATAGCCGATCTACAATTCCATTGACATATCCTCAAAAAATTCATTGTGGTTTCTAAATGCATTGTATAGATTCTATTTTATGTTTTTCATAACGTACGAACACCTTGGTAAAAGTGTGAAATGATTAAAAATATACTGTAATTCTCTTAATTCTTAAACTTATTTGTCTATATTTCATCTTTCTCTTATGAGATTAGTTATAGTTGATTTATTCAAGCTGTTGATGTTTGTTTCTCTAAAATTTGTAAGAACAAATATAAACAATTCTGAAACATGTTGGATGAACGTCTCATCTCTCGTATTAAATTCATGTACACAGTAACTGGGGTTATTAGTGATACCCCCGGGTACCTGTGGAGTGTTTATTTGACTCACAATTTGTCTCCTAGCTTCTTCTGTCAAATCTGGCGAGGAAGGCGAGTTCCGTTTCAAAGGTTTAGACAACCTTTGTGTAAAGTGCGAATTCGCATTTGGAATATTTATTGATGTTTGAGTGTTTGATGATTGAGATGGAAGATTAGAACTATTGATTTCTTGAGGCGTAATGTTATTATTTTTTGTAACTGAAGCATATGTGGTTTTTGGCACCGCATTGTTTGAGTCTCTAAAAGAAGAATTAGTCATTGCCATATGCTTTTTAATTGCCTTTTGCCTCTCAAATTCATTACATTTTGAGGTTTCAAATGAGTAGTGACTGCCATCGCAAATTAAACATTTTTGTTCCAAAGAGTCGTTGTGGCATGAGCTAGTAACATGTTCTTCGTGACATTTTGCACACCTCGGCTTGCTTCTACATTGCTTACCCAAATGACCATAACGCATACAGTTATGACACAGAATTACCTTATGTATATAATGATTTACATCAAAAAGAACGTGATTTATAGCAACACGCTTAGGCAACTCTTGCGCTTGAAAAGTAACTACAACCTTATTTATAAGTAGATATTTAATGACACCATTTTGATCTGATTTCCGGTGCATGCGTTTAACCGAATTCACCGAGAAAATGCAGTGAGAATCAAAAGGTTTGATCTTCTCCAACAAGTATTCGTCTGATAAGTCTTTGTCCACCGCAATAACGCCCTGTCTATATAAAATGAATTTGGGTATATAAACGTCTAAATTGATAGTTTTGAATAAAATCGTTTTATTTAACAGGACATTTGCTGCTGATGGATTTTTGAACACAATCCTTACCCTATTGCGTCCAATCGATTCAATTCTTTTAATCATAGTGTCAACTTCAGGAATATTTTTGAGAATAGTTTCACCAACCTTAACTGGATTTAATTTACCTGAGAAATTTGGTTCATTGTTTTCGATATAAACATGATAGGGGCCCTTATCAGTCTGCTTATATGTTAAAAGCGGTCGATCTGATTTTTTGGGAGATAATGTTGGAAGTTCTACCTGCATTACTCCTGATTGTAGATCATAGTCAATTGTAGTATCATTACTGACCTGGGAATTATCTTCAATAATTGCATCCAGTGAATCCTTCGATTCCTTCCTTTTCTTTCCAGGGGGCAAGCCCCCTTGGGAGACACTCATATATGTTGCGGGGCTCCTGCTCAGACTTCATATACCTAAAACTACTTACAGAATAGCTAAGTTTCGGCACTAATGAAATATTCAAGCTCGGAATCGACCAAAAATGATGTTCGCTCGTCACGTCACTTTGACGTATATGTTGGATGATTTATATAGTGATAATTATAAAACATATAATATATAATGTTGTTCAACTAAGTATTTACTTTTAGTCAATGATCTGCCCGGATTACACACAAGCTAGACAGCTATTCAGAAAAAGAGAGTGTGGCTCAAGCAAAGTGCCCTACTACCTTCAATATCATGTATTTTCGCCTTTGCTGATAACACCATTTTTTGTACTTTAATCATTCAAAATTACGAATTGGATGGATTTTTTCATATGATGAAACTTTAATAAATAATCATATGTGTTTTCATGTTTTGGACTAAACATCCATATTGGCTTTCCAAGTTCGTGTCTAACCCACTTATTTACAAGTGGTGCTATTTCCTTATCTTTCCTTATAAATTAGACCTAAAATAAAACTTTGTCTTGGAGTGTAATGATTACACATTGATAATTCATTGTATTGCGTAATTAAATGTCGTGTAAGGGTAAAATGTGCTTCGTTCGATAGTAAAGGTTACCTATGGCTAGAAGTGAAACTTTGCTTTCACCCACGAACAGTAATGCATCCCAGTTATCCGATCAAATATAATGCGGTACAAATAGAAGAGAACTGAAATGTCTGCAAAACCCATTACATTTTTAGAGGCTGAAAAAGGTTGTACAGAGTCGTTCTACTAGGGAATCTCAGTGGGATTCTGCCAACACTTCCTTACGAAACAGCACTTTCCCGGAATTTCTCTCTACGGCTCTAAATATCGCCATCAATTAACTAATCATTTCAGCTCTGCCCCTTTTATGCCCAATTTTATGTTCGAAAACCCGTCTCAAGAAGCTGTTTGACTTTTTTATGATAGATATGGATCTTTGGTACATGTGTACCACCACAAGTTTTCGGCAGATTGGGTGCGCTATTTGATGGTTTTTGATGGAAAACGCAATACTCTAAGGGCTATGGTTACCGAGATATGATCGTTTTTCGTTTATTTGCGGAATTATCTACAATTGCGCATGAATATCGTTGTAACGTTTTAGTCTTTAGAGATAAAGACACAAAAGTCATTTGTTTGAGAAGATTTGCACTAACTGTTTATCTGGTCTGATGGAGTACACATTACCGAACAGACTTACGTTTATTTTGTGTCATTATCTCTGGAACAAAAAAGTTATAACGATATTTATGCGCAATTGTAGATAGGTAATTCAGAGAAAAAAAACGATCATATCATCCCGATTCATACTTCTTGTTCTGGATATAACTTTCTATTAGTTATTTACCTCTCAAAATTAACAAGCAACCACATACCGTGAAAATCGAATCCATTGTATTCCATTTGCGACAGTCGGAATGCAAGCAACTTTTGGCGGATGGATGAACCGTGTAGTCACAAAGAGTAGAAGGGACATCTACACACACTGAACATAAAAGACCGGTGGCCGCTCACCCCTCGCACGCTAATCAGCAGTTCATATTTGTATATAATTTGTCCATATAAAAGGGCTCCCTGACGTATCGCTTACAATGTGACAGACGGTCTCGCAGGAGGCCAGAGAGCAAAGGCGGGAGCACCGATCCGCGCAGCTTCTGTCGCTGCCTGGCAGATACGCGAACATGTAGCATGTAGCTGTTTTTATTCTGTAGCGAATGAGTGGATACATGCATACAAAGGGGTATTATATTCGGGGGCGAATAAGGTCGAAATCGTACAAACTGTGAAAAGCGAACGCATGATTTGTTTAATCGTGGTTTACAGAGTTATGGGGACACGTTATATTGAGTTACTACCTTCTCACACTTTTAGTCTCAGTTTAGGTTATATTGTCATTATATAGGTATAACATATATAGTGTTAGAAAGGCCGAGACAAGCCTCTTAAGCTTTTTTTACCATTTATCTTGATTATCGATTTCATAGTTGATTTCAAAGTTGAGTTATTTATTTTAACTGCTTGTAGGACTCGTCAAAAGGAGTTGATATACCAAAAAACACCTATGTAAACGTTGAATAATAGGAAAAATGGTAAAAGATTAAAAATATTAAAAAATACACAGATTTTTTGATATTCTTGACCACTTCCGTGTAAAATCTTAGCGTTTTTTGTTATCGTAATTAGTGGACATAATACTAACATACGGAGAGTGCCAACAAAATGCAGCATGAAGGTTGTATGCGGAATAGTTTCCTTTAAGAAATCATCCGGCCTCACTGACGTTTTTAAATTCAGTTATTAGACTTCGTGCGTGCTCAACCTAAAATGTTACAAATTGAGAAATAAACCTTAGAAATGGTCGAAGACGACCCAACAATGAGTAGTAGAGCCATAGCAGCTCAAGTTGAAGTTTACTCATTTTCAGAACATTCATGTTTGGGAGTAGCAAATTCGCATGTTGTAAAAAGAACTCATTTTCAACATAGATTTTCATTAAATGTTTTAGCTGGCGTGGTAAGTGATAACCCTACTTTTTTCCACCTCGACTGACCGGAAAGATTTATTTAGATTTTCTTCGACACAATCTGCCACAGCTATTAGATGTTCATCTAAATGTGAGACATAATATGTGGTTCCTACATGATGGGGCTCCACCACATTTTAAACGAGAAGTTCATGAACTTCTAAATAATAAATTTTCGAATAGATGGATAAGGCGTAATGGACCCCTTTCTTGACATGCTCCCTCCCCAGACTTTATGCCTTGCGATTTTTTTCTGTGGGACCATTTGAAAGAGTGTATCATGATAGAACAATAAATACTCTGAAAGAACTTCAAGAGCGCACTGAAAATGCTTGTAAAGGGTCGTGGATTCGTGAAGCAATATTCTGCGTTAATCGAACAAATGGGGACAATTATGAGCAGTTTTTGTAGAAACAATATCCATTTAACTTGATAATGATCTTTTTTAAATAACTATTATAAAAAGTTTTTATATAGGTAGGTGATTTTTGGTATATCAACTTATTTTGACGAGTTCCACAAGCTGTTAAAGTAATGACTCAACTTTGAAAACCCCTGTACATGTACATGTTAGTTTAGTGAAGAGTTCGACCTTGCAGTGCTTCGTGACATTTTGAAAGGAAGTAAATGAAGAGACCCACATTAATAAGCTCTGCTGATTAAGGATATGTTATTACCAACAGAACATATATAAACCAGCTATTACTAGAATATGTAAGTGTATGGAGCATTTAACATTTCTAATGTACAGGGTCCGTCAGAAAGAACGCATGTTTTTTAAATGAGTAGTACAGTCAAAATAAGTATGGGAAAAATGTTTTATTATATGAAAATACTCAGAAATAAGTGCCTCTTTTCTTTGAGTAAAACAAAATTTACGTTCTAAAAACTATGTCGGCCATACGCCGCCCTTGAGTCGAAATGCGTCAGCCAGCATCCGTGCAGGAATTTGAGTTACTTCTCCTATTATTTCCTCTTTCAAATCGACGGGGGTCCGAGGCTTGCTTTGGTAAGCTTGTGATTTCAGATAACCCCATAAAAAAATCACACATTGACAGGTCCGGGGAGCGAGGGAGCCATGGATTATCGCCGGAGAGGCTTGATTCTTGCATTTCGGCTCAAACGTGCCATATGGCCGACATAGTTTTTAGAACGTAAATTTTGTTTTACTAAAAAAAAGGCATGTATTTATGAGTATTTTGATGTAATAGAATATTTTTCCCATTCTTATTTTGACTGTACTACTCATTCAAAAACATGCGTTCTTTCTGACGGACCCTGTATTACCCATAGATCAGTGAATCAGTATATGTTATTATATTCTTACATTTTTGAGATTCACTCTCTAACTAAATATTAGGTCTTAAAATTATTTCATATTGTGCAAGCAGCCTTCATTTTTTATTATGTAAGTGCTTTATCTAGTATACTAAAATAATCATAATTCACAATAAACTAAACTATATCTGTCACTTGTCATAACGTTCAGAATTGGAAAGCAATGCAAAAACTCTAAAGGTGAAACGACGAAGGTGCAGCGTGGCTGTGAGGTTTCAACAAAAAACAATTGCCGTCCACTTGCAAAGACGACAGACGTGACATTTCACGAACAGGTAGCAGCACAAGCCCAGAACACCATCTAATATAGAATGCATGATTCCCGAAAGGCTGAATAAGTAATACCACAATAAACCATGCAAGTGGGAATACGTTAATTTCTTAATTTACTAGTTAAGTTCCCCGTCGCCGAAGTCATGAATTTCGGATGAACAAAGAAATATTACCAGAGATATTGCTGGTTGAACGTGCTTCAAATTTAATTATGCAGGAAGGGGGACACTTTTTGCTTATATAATTGCCGACCGTGTTTTGAAAAACTTCTCGAGAAAAATTAATATGCCGTCTAACTTTCTACAGGGTGGATCCTATTAAAACGATTGATGAATATTCCGATAGTAGGACTGCAGAAGCTCTACCACAATAACGATTTTTAGGAAGAAATTAAGTTGCACACAAATGTTACTCAAAATACAATAGCCAAATATATTAATAATTCCAATGTTCGCTTAAAGTTCGCTTTTCTTGGTAGATGAAATAATTCCAGTAAACAACAACTAGGAAACATGGTTGTTTGTTTACACATTATAAACCTCAAACATATCAATTATTTTTTGTGGATGAAGTTTTGTATAAACATCCTTGAAATACATCTCAGTAAGAATCACCCGACTGCTTTCTGAAATCCTTTGCTAAACACCATTTGCCGGATAAATCCCACAGAAGATCTGCCCTTACAGTTTTTAGGATATAAACATACGACCACAGTTTAACGCCCGGCATGTTTATTTGAGGGTGCCTATCATGCCAATCATTTTGCTATTAGTGGCTATCAACTCTCCAAGAAGTCATGCGCCTACTTATTAATAGTATACGCAAACAGTCCGAGTAGGCAAATCCCATTCGTGCTGCATGCAATTTTTTCTAGTATTCTCAAAATGGTTTAAAAACAAAGACTACGTTAACTGTGAGTTTTCAAGTTCATGACATCTCACAAACCGAAATCGCAAAGTGATGAATACTGTGACAAACAGGTTGATCAACCAGCATCT